GCCGGCCCAGTTCGCCCCGCATTGTCCCCCAAACGCGAGGCAGCCCAGCGCAGCATCTGCAGAGCCGGCGGTGATGGTCAGGACCCCGCAGAGGGGCGCTCGCAGAGGGTACCGGGGACCATCGCACCTCCAGTAGGCGCCTCAACCCCAAAGTGCTCCGCCGACCCCATCTCCCAGGGGTGACCAGTGCTGGTGACCCGCGGGGACCACGTCGCCATCATCTGCAAACGGCTGACCGCTGCAATGCTGCTCACAGGTCCCGGGCCAGCGCAGGCTGCCCTGAGCTTAGGAGGGTGTCGGCCCGAGGTGCGATGTGGACAGCCAGGCCTGGACCGCGTAGCTCAGTGGTTGTGCGTCCACCTATGAACCAAGAGGTCAAGGTTCGATTCCCGGCCAGGGCATATCCCGTGTGTTGGGCTACAGGAGGCGGCCAAACAATGATTCTCTCTCATCATTGATTTCCTGTCTCTCTCTCCCTCTCCCTTCCACTCTGCAATCAATAAAAATATATTTAAAAAAAAAAAAAAAAGACACCCAAGCCCCGGCTGTCTCTTTTGGAAACTTGGGGAAGGCCTGGTTCCAAAACCCCACTCCCACCGGTGGGGAGCGTGGACAGACAGAAGACGTCACCCCAAAGCTTAATTACAGACACCGCCTGTGTTTCAGACCTTTTCTTTTACCTGTGGGTCTGGTGTATTTTGTGTGTGTTTTTCTGAGAGGGCGGACTGATCAGCAAAAACTCCAGCTGCGAGATCACGCGTTCCCAATTCTTCAACAAGGTGGGTCGCCCAGCTCGGAGCGTAGGCCCCCTTGGTTGGGTCTGGAATGCCATTTTATCGACTCACCTCTTCCTGAGGACAGCTTGCATTTCCCATCACCTTCTTTTCAGCGGCAGCCAGCAAACCTGGAGCTAAAGGCACCTTCGCCCACTTGCCTTGGTCTTCTCCAAGGTCCCAGGATGGAGAAACGTATCTGGGGTCATTTATACTGACTGACCCTGAGGAGGCCGAGCTGCGGGCAAGTCCCTGGCTGGGACCCGCTGACGGCAGCCTCCTGCAGGCCCAGAGCCCTCCCTCCAGCCCTGGCCTAACCACCAAGGCTTTCAGACGTACCTTCGGGTGGGAACTGGTGTCCTCCCGACACGCCTTTCACCACACACAGGTTCCACCTGTAATTACCGGGTAAAGGTGAACTGAAGGTCATGAAGAGTCTAGAACCGCTTCCCACGAGGCCTCCAGCACATCCCGGAGCAAACTGTGGCTCAAACCCTGGGCTCTGCTCAGAACCCTTTGTTCTTCCTGCTCCCAGCGTGTTGTAAAGGGAGCGCCGTGCCCTGCGGGGGTTTATCCGTGTCTGAGGGTTTCTTGTTCCCAGGCAGAGCCAGGCCTGGGTGTGGCTCAATCAGGCACTCAGCCTTTTTCTTTTTTTATTTATTAATTTCTAGAGAGAGAGAGGAAGGGAAAGGGGAGGAGAGAGAGAGAGAGAGAGAGAGAGAGATCGATTTGTTGTTCCACTTACTTGTATTTATGCATTCATTGATTGATTCTTGTATGGGCCCTGACTGGGGATCGAACCCAAATCTTGGGGTATCGGGATGATGCTCTAACCACCTGAGCTACCCGGCCAGGGCTGGCAGCTCACTCTTGTGGCTCCCAAGGATCTGCTCCGGCCCCACCTCAGCCTGCACTGAGCCTGGGAAACCACTTCGTTCCCCATCTTGGCTAACAGCCCCCCAAGCCTGTAACTAGGTTTCTCTTCCCATGAATGCGCCATGAATCAATGCCTGGGGCAGTAAAGAAAACAAGCACAGTAACACAGCGGGCATTTACCGCGCACTCTCTGCGAGCCAGGCCTCTTTTCCGAGCTCTCACACACTGCAGCATCCCTCCCAGCAACCCTACGATGCACGTGCTATTAACACCCCCATTTTATGGTGGGAGGAACGCAGGCAGAGAAAAAGCACTGGGTTCTGAGTTGGACAAATCGGCACCCTAACCCTGTGTACCTTCAGACTCAGGTCTGAGCACCAAGTATTGGCCTGCGGGAGAGCCAAGCAATAACTGAACCAGGGCTCCATCAGAAAAAGAGGCCATAGCCCGGCCGGCGTGGCTCAGTGGTTGAGCATCAAGCTATGAACCAGGAGGTCACTGTTCAATTCCCAGTCAGGGCACAGGCCTGAGTTGCAGGCTGGATCCTGCGTGTGGGGTGTGCTGGAGGCAGCCGATCAATGATTCTCTCTCATCATTGATGTTTCTATCTCTCTCTTTCTCTTCCTTCCTCTCTGAAATCAATAAAAATACTTTTTAGAAGAAGAAGAAGCAGCAGCAGCAGCGATAGCCAGCTGCCTGGGGTCATGAGGAAGAAGAACAAGGCACCGGGGAAAGCTCAGAGAAAATTCTAGATCACAGAGGCTTCCTGTGAACTAATTGAGTCCGAGCCCCACTTCCGACGATGTCATCACGCAGTGTTACAGTTTGGGGACAGAGGACCTCAGCCTGTGTCCAGGGCAAAGAGCAGAGGAGCAGCCACGCCCTGGGAGCAGGCCCTCTGGCTGCCAGTCCCGCATGCCTCTCCGGTCCTCCCTCCCCCCCACTTGGCTCCCTCGCCGGAGATCTGGGCCAGGGAGAAGGCCTGGGGGAGGAGATGGCACAGGCAAGAGGGAAAAAAACCAGAAGCGACCTCCGTGGAGAGAGCCATACAAATGCTTTTAACTTGAACGCAGGTCCGGGGAGGGTGGCACAGGCGCAGAGGGAAATGACATGCAAATTGCAGGCAGCCTTTGTGTAAAGAGCCTCCAGCATCCTGTGCGCTCCTGGTTGTCAACGCAGCCCTGGGGAGAATCCCAGCAGAGCAGCCAGCGTTTCGGGGTCTCGGGGGTTTTCTCGAAGCATCGGCGGACCCGGCAGGGAGGCAATAAGCCCCGCAGTGCATGAGCTCTGAGCCCTCTCCACCTTGGGCCTAAGGGAGGGAGGAGAAGCAGGTGGGGGAGGCGCATGGAGAGTGATTTCCAGGTCAGCTCATCCCCCTGGGCTCTAAGTTCTGTTCAGTTGGGCTGTCCTAGTTTCAGCTCATCTGCAGCACATCCACTCATTTCAAGGGTTTCGCGCAGGTTCCCCGTAAGAGGAAGGAGAGCCTGCAGGTGAAAGGCTGGCAAGGCAGCCGGGTGTTGGGGGGTTGGGAGGGGATGCCTGGGGACTGGGGAGCGGGCCAGGCCCCTTCTTGGCTGTTTGCTTGGCCATTCTGGCCCTGCTAGGGGGCAGGAAGATGGCAGCCCTGGCTGTTCCGAGTAAGCGCAGCGTCTCTCCAAAAGACAGGGCCCCATCAGCAACCCAGGGCCCTGATCCCTCTCACAGGCCCCTGGCGTCCGGGGGTTAAAGCCAACACCACCAGTGGAGGATGTCCCCTCCTGCTCGGGGCTGTGGGCCAGGCTGACGCCCGCGGAGGGACATGCCCTGGGACCCTGCAAACGGCTCCTCTGGCAGCCTGCGGTCCTGTGAGGACACAGCTCGTCCTGCAGGAAATGGCACCCGGGCTTCCATATTGTGCTTCTTGCCGAATGTGAATTCCTCACCATTCACGTCCTCCTCAGCTGTGTGCCGCGAACAAAGGAGAACTGTTCCAGCAGCTACAGGCTTCAGCCGGGTTTGGAGCCTCTTCATCTACTTTTCAGGTGAAGACCCCCAAGAAAACAATGTTTACAACTGCCCCGTGTAGCCGGGGCCCAGGGCGAGGAGGCTAGGTGCCTGGCGGGTAACCTTCCCGGCTCTCAGACAGGTGCCTCACGTGAATCCTACTCAAGGGCCAGTTTAAAGAATTAGAGGCCAGCCGGTGTGGCTCAGTGGTTGAGCATTGACCCAGGAACCAAGAGGTCTCAGGTTTGATTCCTGGTCAGGGCACATGCCTGGGTTGTGGGCTCGACCCCAGTAGGGGGTGTGCAGGAGGCAGCCAATCAATAAAAACATATTTAAAAAATAATTAGGCCATTTTTTAAATGTTTTTTATTGATTTTTTTTTTTTAAAAAAAAAGAGAAGGAGAGATAGAAACATCGATGAGGGAGAAACATCTATTGGCTGCCTCCTGCATGCCCCCTACTGAGGATCAAGCCCATGACCCGGGCATGTGCCCTGATCAGGAATCAAACCGAGACCTCTTGGTTCCTGGGTCAACGCTCAACAGCAGAGCCACACCGGCCCGGCTAGGCCGTTCTTTTTGCCTTAGTTTAGTCCCAGGTCGTTCCTAGCAAGTACCAGACCCTGTCCATCCTTTCTGTACCAACAGTGGCTTCTGCCTTCATTGACTCTGCCCTGCCGTTGGTTTTGAGCTCAGCCCCGCACTCCACGTGATGAAGTTGGTCTGAACATGCACCACTAACATGGCAGCCCAGTAGGTACAGATCGGCGGCCTGGCTGCCCTTCTCGGGTCAGCACCCGGCCGGCAAATAGCCCAGATCTTCCTCCTGCTGCCCACAGAAGCCAGGACGCGGGAGAGGCGGCGTGGCGACGGCCCTCACTTGGCTCTCACATGCTCAGCTGCGGTTACTTAGGCCATCAAAGTGAGAAAAGGAGAACGAATTCTCCTCCCTCTGCCAGGGGATCCACTACGGGTGTCCTGGCTGGTGCTTCGGGGCTGGAAGAAGCCTGAAGGTCAGCCCAGCCCCCTCCCCAGGAGGAGGAGAACGCTGTGGCTGGAGAGGGGAAGGGACTTGCCCCAGCCGGGGGAGTGGCAGCCAGGGTCAGAGCCCGGGAACCCCAGGCTCCTCGCCCTGGGCCTGGCTTTGGGAAACCCCGTTCTGCTGCTTTGCTTTCCTTCCTTTGCGGAGTAGGCTGTTTTCCAAAGCCCGTGGAAGAGGAGAAACCAGCTCCAGGACACACAGCTCGGAACCCTAACACAAACGCAGGCCCCACACACAGCCTTCAGCCCTTGCATGGAAGTTATCATAACATCGCTCCGGCTGGCAGGAGAAAGCCACAGAGCCCGGCCGGCGTGGCTCAGTGGTTGAGCATCAACCTATGAACCAGGAGGTCACGGTTCGGTTCCTGGTCAGGGCACGTGCCCGGGTTGTGGGTTCCATCCCCAGTAGGGGGCGTGCAGGGGGCAGCTGATCCATGATTCTCTCTCATCATTGATGTTCCTCTCTCTCTCTCTCCCTCTGATACTGGAGCTGAGGTCAGTCAGTCACCAGCTCCTCCCGGCACAGGATCCAAAGGGCGATGAGAAAGGAGGACGGCTGCCACCCAGGGTTGGAGCAGGTTCTCGGCAGGTGGGTTAAAAGTGTCCCCCACACACTAATGGTGTGGCCCTGCTACAGCCCACCACCCACCAGCGCTTCCGGGATTTTATCTGCTGTGACATTTATCCCGGAGCTAATTGCTTGTCTAGTTAAGTGGTGGCTACTCTCCTCATTAGGGCACATCAAAGGCTGCGCAGGGAGCCCGCAGAGCAATAAACAGATGCTCCTGACAGTGAATGGTGGACGGAGGGACCTTAGATCTTTCTAACACGCCCTGAGGTGTGTGTATTATATTGCTTGCTTGTGTACTGTTATCTTTTATATCCAGCGATGAAATCTGTGTATGAGAGGAGGTCTGGCAGTTCCATTCGCTTCCTCTCTGGCTTTCCTGCCTCCTTTTCCCTTTCCTCTCTCCTCTCGTCGTTCTAGACGTCACTCTCGGGCTGACTCCTAATATGCACGGTCCTCCCTTGCCCACATACCTCCCATGGCTCCCCATTACCTCACACAAAACAGACGCTTCATCCCCACACCCTTTCCTCCCTCTGCTTCCCCACAACCCGCTTGTGCCCCAAAGGCAGCCATCAGTCCTGCTCACGTATTTGCTCGTGAAAATCCCTCCCCGTGTGCCCTTCCCACTCCTGTGTGCCCGGGTGAATCCCGCTCAGCGAAACCCCACCTGGTCCAGGAAGCCACCTCTGCGAGCGGGGCCCTCCATCGCGCTCAGCGAATGAGTCCTTTCCTGCAGGACTCAGTTGATACTGACCTGCAGGCTCTCCCCAGCCTCCACAGGCAGACGGCGTACAAGGCTCTGGAGCCACAGAGAAGGGGGTTCAAACCAGCTCTTTCCTATGGCCTGTGCCTCTTGGGAAAAGCACCTCGTCTCTCTAAGCTCAGTCCTCTCACCTATAAGTGAGCCTGAGACCAGCAAGGAGTGTTTGAACACTCAGTTAGACACAGACGAAGCCCTGGCACAAGTCCTGGCACACAGCAGGTGCTCAATAAACGCTCACTTTTATTTATTTATCTATTTATTTAATTTATTATTTCGGAGAGGGAGAGAGAGAAACATCAATGATGAGAGAGGATCATTGAACGGCTGCCTCCTGCACGCCCCACACTGGGCATCGAGCCTGCAACCTGGGCATGTGCCCTGACTGGAATCCATCCCGGGACCCTTCAGTCCGCAGGCCCATGCTCTATCCACTGAGCCAAACCAGCCAGGGCAAGAATCATTATTTTTGAGCAATGACTCCATCCAAGCACTTTTAAATGCTTCATCTCATTTAATCTTCAAAATAACCCTAAGAGGGAAGTAATATAGTTGTTCCCATTTCCCAGATGGGAAACTCAAGGAGGCGCCGGGAGCGGGAACTTGCCTGAGGTTCATCTGAGTTCACAGTCCCAGGTCTGTCCTACCAGATTGCCTGTCCTGCCGGCCGTCACTGTCACCAGGAAAGCCTGCCCCTGCGCCAGGCCAGTCACAGAGGCTCCAGAGACAAAGGACCTGCCTGGGCCCGCCCCCCCCCCCCACCTTATCTCGTCTCTCTCCCAGTGTAATCTGCCTTCCTTCTCCTACCCACTTCCTCTCCAGCGGCTCCTTGTCTGAATTAGGACCATTTTCAACAAGCCCTTGACCCTCCATCTCCTGTCTCTGGATCCTTTTGGGCCTCAACCTTTTGGGCAGATGAACAGCTGCCTTCCCGTTGGCACTTGGGTGGGCCCTGCGCCGGTGCCCCTTCGGCCTGGCAGACACCCTGCCTCTCGCAGTCCCTTCCGATGACCGGGCTCCGTCCACAAGTGGGGCAGCGGGGCAGCTCCGGGCTGGAGCGCCCTGAGGGCAGGACACAGGACACAGGACACCAATGTGCTCTGAGGGCTCTGGGGCCCGGAGCTCGGGCGCTGCTGGTGACGAGGCACATTCTGGTGGTTTCCGACTCCGCTGTGTACAGGCCAGCGCTCCCCTTCCCGGCGGCTACTTCCTTCCTCTCTCTGGGGAACACTGCCCCGGGCGTGTGCGCTGCCAGCACCACGGCTCGGTCCCAACATGGTGACTTCTGAGACCTGGAGAAGCATCTCAGACACTTCCGCCCTCTGCAGCAGCCCCTCCATGTTCATTCCCTCCAGGAGCTGAGATGCAGGGACAAGCCAGGCAGAGATGAGCGAGTGACGACAGGTCCATGCATTGCCCTGGGGGAGGGAGCACCCAGGTTTAGACGCTGCTGTTCTCGTACCCGGGGCCCTGCGTGCGGAGGGTGCTCAGGAGCCCCACGTGGTTCCTCCAGACAAGGAACAGCGGAGCCAGCAGGGTGCATTGCTCCCGCCCTGGAGCCTGGCCTGCGGGCACGCTCCCCGGTGCCGATGCCGAGGGCTTTGTGGTCCACTTCGAAGGCCCGGCTGGAGCATGACAGCAGCCGCAGACACACGCCAACACGTCGGCACAGCTGTGTCCCAGTAACGCTTCCTTTACAAGGCAGGCGGCAGCCCCGGGGCTGCATTTTGCCAACTCAGAGCCGCAAGACCCGGGAGCTCCTGGTCTGGGTCACTACGTCACCGCCCAGAGGGCAGTGTTTCCTGAGAGCCGCAGGACTGCAGCGAACTCTGCCTGGCTGAGAGGCAAGGCTTTGGGATTGCGTGTTGCCTGTCCTGGTTAATTTGAGGGGTCGCTGAACCTAGAGAAAGCCTGGGCCATTGTGTGTGTGGCTGAAGGGAGTGATGCCAACCACTCTCCTCCCCACCCCCCAGAGCAGGGCGACGCTAGCCGTTGCCCCTCTAAGCTCAGCAGCTCCCTCACCCCGCTGTCTCCCAACAGGTGCCCTGAACCAGCCTGGCTATGAACTTGCTTTCAGGGTGACGCTGTGCTTTGGTTTCCACTGTTCTTTCTCCCCCAAATTTCCTTCCTTCTCCTTTCTACCTACCCCATTCCTTCCCAGCTTCAGTTCTCCCTCCTCCAGGGAGCCTCCCAGGACTACCTGCTCTGACCTATGATTGCTAGCTTGGCTTAGCGTTTTCTGAAGTCATGGAAGAGAGCCAGCCCTCGCTTCAAGCGATCCATATTGGTAAGAGGGCTCCCCTGAGCTCACCCGCAGGGTGAGTGGAGAGAAAAGGGACTGAGCCCTGCAGAACGGTGAGTCACCTACTCAATGGACTCCATCTATCATGCCCGCAATGCATTGTTGGGAGATACCCACAAACAATGGATTATATAACAGAGAAAACCGAGGAAATGATTAATGCAAATTGAAGGATCATGAGTTTTTGGGGGAGGAAAGTACGTATTGGGGGAGAGTCGTGTGAGGGTTTTAAAGGCACTAGTCTAGGACTTCTTAAATTCTACTAGTATGTTGGGATTTTTCCTATTCTTCAAACTGTGCATAGGTTATACACAAACTCTTGGTGTATGATATATTTCTTTTTTTTTTTTTTTTTTTTATAGAGAGAGTGGAATGGAAGGAGAGAGAGAGAAACATCTGTGTGAGAGAGACACATCAATTGGTTGCCTGCTGCACACACCCCAACCAGGCTGGGGTTAGAGCCTGCAACCAACGGGTATGCCCTGGACCAGAATCGAACCTGGGACCCTTCAGTCCTCGTGCCGATGCTCTATCCACGGAGCCAAACCAGCTAGGGAGGCGTATGATATATTTCTTTTAAAAAAAGGGGGGGGCGGCAGTCAGGTTAGCAGCTGCCACAGCAACAAGACTCCTGTGTTTTGGATGCCAGGGTGGGGCCAGAGAGGCCCAGCTCCAGGCTGGTCGTTCCAGCCATTGAGAGAAAGTGGCTGGGAACCTGGGCCCCAGCCCACAACCAACGTCTCCT